TTGTTAGGTAGTCCATCCGTTTCACAAACAGTCTGCCATCTCGTTGGAGGTCTTCCTTGGGGACGTTCTGCTTCGCGACTCCACTCTGATGTTTCAGCTTCCATCTGTCGTCCGTTCTTTTCTAATATCTTCGCTTTCGCAACGTAATCCGCTGAGTCACGAAGACGAGACATTCTCTTCGTACCACTGCGACTAGTTGTTTGTGTCGGCTTATCCTTATGAGACTGCGCTCTAGCGCTTTGTGGCTCGTCTTAGAGCAGTGGCTACGGTGTCAGCCCAACTATACTCTCAGCTGCGTGACAGAGCGCCGAGAGATCGGTTGAGTCGAACTGATGGGCTCGATCCGGTGTCTGTTAGTGGTCGGGAGGGCAGAAGGCGGCCCAGGTTGCTCTTCTTTTCCTGTTGAAAACGCCGTCTACCCAAAGTGGGGGTGGGGGGCGGGGTGACGAGATTATGGTGACATAGTAGTGTGGACCCCCACACTAGGCAAACCCCCAAATTGCGCCGCAAGTATTTGCTTCCGAAGCGAGAAATCAGCTACGGAAGGAACCTGCAAAATGGGCGGAGCTGGTCACCCCGCCCATTTTGCAGGTTCTACAGGCCTTCAGTTTGTAGGCGCGGCGTATATCAGCGTCGCAGCCCAGCGCCTTGCACTTCGTCTGTCCCCGGGTTATTCGAAACGGGGATTTTCGGAAATTTCGCGGATTCTCGACTCCATATCCAAAATTAGGGCCTTCAAAAGGCCTGATAACGACAAAAACATGGAAGTCGAGAATATGGGTAGACGGTGCCTTCAAGTTTTCCTCTCATGTCGTTCATAATGTTTTTTGAACTCCAGATACACGTAAGAAGACATCTTCATAATCTCCATAATTGGGGTGCTTTCCAATTTCTTTGCATTCCAGAGTGCGTTCTCCATGAACTGAGCCTTCTTCCGATTTATTCGCATTCCCATTTTTTTCCTTTCTTCGTTTAGTTCCTCCAACATCGTCTCTGTTTCAGTGATACTGCTCGAAAAAAGAACTATGTCGTCCGCAAACGAAGGTTCGACAAGAAATAACCATCACTTCGTATGCCTGTCTCGTCCCAGTCCAATGACTTATTCACCCCACCCCAGCATCCAGCTGATTATGAATAAAAGTCAACTATACCGATTTTATCGATCTTTGACAGATTTCCAGCTACGGGACTGGGAGGTGATATAGGGGTGTGAGGTGTTAATTTTGAATGAGTCAGCTTTATCCGGCTATGTTAGCAAGTTTTGGAAACGGTTGCTCCAGATATTCGATATATATTCTGATATCTATTCGAAATTTGAATCCCAATAATCGAATAGAATAGTTTCATTCTTATTCGGGATTCATTCATTCAAAATTTGTAAATCGAATTTATTCGATGTTTTTTTGTCCGAGATTTTAATTCAAATTTATTCGATGTTCATTCATTTGATGAAAAGTTTTGATTTTCTCCAAGCATACTCCACATTCGGGTCAGCCCCCTGGAAATTAAGAATAGCTCTAGCCCTATTAGGTCTGCTCTTGTACCGGTAAGACAATTACTCCGTCAGTAAGGAGAAATGAAAAACCCTGAACATCAGATTTGCCTACGGCGGCGAATGGAAGCAAGAACGATGTGAGGGTCCTCATGGCGCCTGTTTGGACAAAAATTAACCTGCCTGACGACACGACATGGAGACTGCCTTATGCTCTGCAATTACAGCTCCAAAGCATTTTCCACAAACGCCGACTTTCACGCTCTTCTCGACGCTGCAGAGCACATCAAATACAAACAACATCATCGCTCTGCAGGAGACCAAGTTCAGGAAGAAAGACGTGCGATGGTGAGTGATGTGCCCCTCATCATTCATGGTGAAAAGGTACCGTCACGGAACATTGGAGGCGTTGGCTTTGTGACCACCCATCAATCGCTCGTCTTGTCGATTCGCATGAGAACCCATCACCGACTAGCTATCCCACGACTACGTCCTCCACGTCTAAAGACCACCATTATCGTCAACTGCAACTCTTCGACATACCAGCCAATAATTAGAGCTAGATGCTTTCCACGAAGATGTGGGCGAGATTTACATTTGCTGTGGGCGACTTCAAGCGATAATCTGGATGCCACTAAGAAAGGAACATGCGATTAAGAATGGACATGGGCTTTGGAACGAAAACGGCAACCGTCTGTTGTGAGATGATGCAGCTTTCTCATAGCTCCCTGACCATCCCAGTAGGGAAAGGGGTAAGACAAAGCGACACAATCTTGTCCAAGATGTTCGCCGCGGCCATG